TTAAATAAAATCAAATTCAAATTTAATAACATATAAAATCAAATTTATTCGTTCTAATCTCGATCTGATGCCGACTTTAATTTTGTCCAAAGAGCAAACCAGCGTGGAACCTTTGACTGTCTTTCAAAGTTTTGTGATAGAAATAGATGTTTCCACGACTCCATTTACAAAGCAAACCAGCGGCTGTTAGATTGATGTTACGTAATTTACAAAACAACAATCTTCTTTATATGGGAATGGTCGATATTATAGACTTAATTGGTTCTTGATTTTGTTCATTCTTCTTTCTTTCCTATTGGGACTGCTAATAAGTTTGTTCATAACTCTGCAATTTTCTATTGTCAAATAGGAGATCAAAGATTTTGGTGCAAATCACTCTTAATCTCTTCGAAATCCTAGTGCAATTAAGTGTTTAATAAAGCTTTTTTCATTAAAAAAAAAGTTTAAGTAGTTAATGAAAAAAAAAATACATATAAGGCCTCATCTATCAAAAATAAATATCATCCATATTGTATCAATTGGTATTAGTATTTATAAATCGAATCAAGCTTAAATATGATATTAACATTATATATACTTGTATAAGTCTAACCAAACTTGATAATTTGTGTCTCAAATTTTATTTAAGTATATTCAAATTTGTAAACAATACAATCCAAATTTGAATTATTTTTTTCTAAAAATATATAAAAAAAAATGCTATTTTTACTTAATTTTTAGTAAATTTACTTTGTTAATTAAACCTTAAAAAATAATTTAATATAATTTGTAATGTTTACAACGTAATATTAAATATTTAAATTTTAAAATTTTTTTTTGCGTATCTTTTTGTTACATCATATGTTGCTTATGTTATAAATATAAATTATTAAAAAATTTAAAAGGAATTTTTGGAATTTGCAAAACATTTAAAAATTTTAATGTACTTTTCATAATTTTAAATACATGAATTTCTTATAGTCTCTTGGGTGCATGTTTTACAATTTAAATTTTAGTTATGGATTGAGTATGTGTTTATGGATTTTTTTTTAAAAAGTATTCATGTTATACTTTTTTTTTAGTATTTTGTAATTTCAGTTTTTTAGATAACTATAGATTTATTTCTGTTTAACGTGGATTTGTTATAAAAGTTTTCAAAACTCCACTTCGATTTTGGATTATGATTATTGATTGTTTAATGTGGATTTGTTGTTTTTTTTTTAGTCTTTTTTAGGTTTTATAAAAAAAAAAAAAAAGTGGGTAGAATTTTTTTGTGATGTTTTAGTTTTTAGATAAGGTAGATTCTCGACAAGATTTGGGTTGTGATCGGTGATGGGTTTAGATTTGCAAAAGCGGTGGTGTGGATTGGGTGATCGGTGATGGGGGCAGGTTAGGTTGTGGCAACAGGTTGTAGAAGGTAGATGATTTTGGTTGAAAAAGGACACATGTCAAGGACTGTGGGGTTGATATGACAATTATTTGATGATTTGGATGAATAAGGAAAATGCTGATTTGGCAATAAATTAAACAACTTAATTTTGAAAAGATTAATTTTATATCTAAGTATAAATATTGTGATTCAATATTGAAAATTTTGTTGAATTTTATGATTATATTTGTAATTTATTATCATTGAATATAAAATTACAAATTTTATGAATATTTGTTGTATACATCAATAAAATATGCCATTAAATATTTTAATTTTGTTATTTTTTTCTTAAAAATTAACAAAATTAAAAAAAACAGTAGCAAATTTTAATAAAATTAAAATACAGTTACAAATTTTAATATTAAATTATATAATATAGTGACAATTTTACCTTAATTTTTCTTTTAGTACAGTCTCATTTCTTACTTCATATTTTTCCAATCAGATATCAATTAATTTATCTATAAGCTACTTAATGATTTTTGTATGTCCTACATTGCAATCTATATATATATATAAATCTAATAATGGGTTTTCACCATTTGCTATAATGCCACCATTTCATCTTGATGGACAATGAAATTAAGACTGCCGATGAAATCTACTTGTCTGATAAATCGTGCATAAAGTTTAAATTTTAGGTGACATTTATGAAGGTTTTTTAAAAATTATTTAATAAAAATTTTAAAATATATATGAATAGATGGATTAATAGAATTTAATATAAAAATTAATAATATGTAAAAAAATTATTAAAAAAATTATTTATAATTTAAATTTGATAAATACTTATTTAATGATAAAAATTTTATTAAAATGTTTATGAAAAATACTTATTTAAAAAATATATCTAAATTTATTAAATATTTTTTTATATTTTATATATTTAATCTATATAACATTTATTAATTTAAATTTTCAATTAAAAATTTTCAATCTATATAATTTTTTTTCTTAGATCTCAAATTTAAATTTCATTTTATATGAGTTTAATCCATTTTTATATTAAATTTATCCAATTAAACATTAATTTTATAATTGGTTTATTTATTTGTTTAATTAATTTTTTATATGTAATACTTGCATATAATTATAATTTTTTTCCACTGACAATTTTATAAAAAAATAAATTTATTTAAACAAATAAAAAATATGATAATATTTTAACACTACGTATAAAATATGAAAAATATATCAACCTAAAAAAAAAAAAAACTAAGAACAAACTATCTAATCAGATAAAAAGAAAAATTCCCAAAATGGTAACAATTATTAGCAGAGCAATTATATCAACAAAAGCAAAGACAGTGAAACAAGTGCGAAAGAATATAGTTTGTGGCATCCTAAAGCAATATATGTTTTGGCATAGATGGATAGTTTGGAAAATAAGAAGACGGTGTGTTTGAGACAATTGAAAAGATAATAGTGCCATCGGTATTCTAAAATTTGTTGGATATTTGATTTAACGTCTTTATAAAAAAATTATCTTATGTCTCTTGTTTTGGTCACTTATCTAATCTTATAATAATAGTAATAATAATAATAATAAGAGTTCCCACAAGCAACATGCTGATCCAAAAACATATCATTCTACTAGAAGCCATTCTCGCTGGCCCACTTTTTGTTGTCTTTTTCCCTGCAAAATTAAACACTATTTATTGATTTTATTTGGTTAAAAGTTTTGTTTCTTTATTTATTTATTTATTTATTTTTGACAATAATAAAAATAGGGCGTCAGGGTGGTGTTTCACAACATACGGTATACCACCCATAAATCACATATGTTAGTTTGAGAGTTTGACTAGAGTGGTAATGGCGTTCACGCTTTGGAGGAGGCTGTTACAAGAAAACTAATTTTTTGTCCAGCAAAGTGTCTATCTTAAAGATACTCATTAAACTAATCTAAAGAGAAAATCAAGCTAAGAAAAGATTCTCCTTAAACTATTCTAAGCGAAATTAAATAACCCATGCCCGTCTTTCAACTGTACAGCTTTATTGAAATAAGAGAATGTTACATTTTAAGTTTTATCTTTATTTTATTCCAAATCTCAATTTGTGTTGTATTAGTTAAGTTTTAAAAGCATCATAATTAAATTGTCAGCAATTGATGCATTTTAACCACTCAGTTGAGACTTTAATAAATTAATTAATAAATCAAATAACTCAAAACTCATTTACTCGGATAATATTAAAAAGCTATAAATCTGAATTTGCTCTAACTAAAAGTTTCATTTCTGAGTCTGATCACCTATGACATTTCTCGGAACCTAGCAAGTGCTTTCTTATGAATGACAGTTTTGTAACTATCGCCGGCTTGTGCCTCAAGGCTAGGGTCCAACTTCTTCACTTGACTTCCTAGTCCTGCTCTACTATCCGTGGAGTCACGGGTTAAGTTTTATCTCAACAAGTGATAGATCGTACGATACTTAAATGGATGCTTTCACCCAAGTCAGTCAACGATAATTCGATATCTGAACAAACAACCATAAGTCACGATTAATCTCAAACATACACAAGAAAACATATTCATATCGAGAGAATGAAAAACACATCAAGATAACATTCAAGATTTTCAAATAAAAGATGTATTTCATTATTATCGATAATAGTACATCGAAACTTCACACTATCGTCAGGGCCAGGGGGACAGCCCTTGACGGGTGGCCTACGTCTATACCCTAACCAATGAGAGAGCCCAACAATATGCTGATTGCTCACCCCTCTTAAAAAGCCTAAAAGATTTTAGAGCTATGCTACCACTAACCGTTACAATATTTGAAATTAAGACATTTTTCTTAGCACAAGAGATCTACCTTCCCCCCTTGGCACCTCTACCCGATCATGGCCCTATACATGAGTGACTCATGACAACCTAAGCCTTGGTCATGATCCTATACAAGGTTGGCTCATGACATCCTCCCCCACCTAATCTATCGACGTCCTTGTCGACTTGCTGGCTTGAAATTCTTCAATCTTCTTCTTGAATGCCCGGAAGTCATGGTCTCTTTCCTAGCTAGTTTTCTCTGGTCCTAATCCCTACCACTTCACTAAGTATTCATGAACTAGTCTTCGAGATATCTTGGTTTTCCTGTCAGCTAAGATCTATTCAACACGACGTTTTGACGGTGGCTTCATAGTGATGGTGGCTCTAGTTGGCTCTCTTCGACTAGCATCTGTAAGATCTACATGAAAAGGTTTTAAGTTGCTCACATGAAATATTGGGTGCACTTTCATCCACTTTGGTGGGTTGATTTTGTAAGAAGTATTTTCCACCTTGGATAAGATTTTCACTGGACCCTCATATTTGCGCACCAATCTCCGATCTTGTTTCCTTAAGAACCTGGTTTGTTCAGGGACTAGTTGAACAAGAACCAAATCACCAACTTAGAATTGTTGCACCCTACGACCTTTGTCTGCCCATTTCTTCATTCGCTTCTACGTCTTCTCCAAGTAGGCTTGTGCAATCTCTGTGTTTTGCTTCCACTCTTTGTTAAGGTTGAAGGCTCTCGGGTTCTTCCCTCCATATTGCTCCAAAAATGTATGGAGTAACCTTGGCAGTTGTCCAGTGACCACCTCAAATGGGCTCTTATTGGTGGAAGAGCTCTTGTTAGAATTAAAACAAAGTCGAACGACGTCCAATAACGAAAACCCGTCCTTCTGATTGGCTTGAACAAAATGCCTCAAGTATTCTTCTAGTAATCCATTGAACCGTTCAATTTGGCCGTCGATTTGAGGGTGGTAGCTTGAAGAGATATTCTGTTGAGACCCCAATATCTTGAAAAGTTCTCCAAAAAGAGCCCATAAATCTTGTATCCCTGTTGCTTACAATGTTTTGAGAGAGGTCTTAATGTTTGATCACATGTTTGAACAGAAGTCGGGTTGCGTCCTCCGCAATACAATACTTGTGGGTGGGAATGAATGTGACATACTTGGAGAAATGATCGATCACCACCAAAATAGCTCCAAGTTCG